ATGCAGGGGGTCAGACCAGATGATCATAATGGTCCCTTCTGACCTTAAAGTCTGAGTCTATGAGTCAGTCCCCCACACCATCTCAGTTTCTTCTTAACGCCCCGGATGGTCACTGGAACACCTTCTCTTGCTTCGGCAAGGGATTCATTAAGGGCTTTTTCTGTTATTCTCTAGTTTAGTTATTTTCCATTTTAATTTCTAGTAGTAATGTAGATAATATTACTGTATATAGTGAGACACCCCTCCCCCTCTTTTTGCCTCAGGGGCTGGGCATGCCCCGGTCTCTGGGCTAAAAACCCTGCGCCTCCTGCAGCAAGCCTGTGCTGGTGGGCAACCCACACTCTGAAAAGTCTGGAAGAAGCTCACATATAAGAGTGTGCCAAATCTGCCGCAACTTCAAGTCTTGTACAAAAAGGAGAGGGAGGCTTGACGAAGAGCTGTCCTAATGGAAGCCACATATAGACCTGCATCAGAGCCAAGCAAGTTGGACTCAGCGCCTCAGCTTCGATGTAAAGCACTCTCTGGCGCTGCATGTTTCTCAGCACCTGTCCAGTACTGAGAGAGAAGCACAAGAAACTGATCCGAGAGAGGACACTGCCCAATATTGAGGAAAGCCAGGACCCTGATGGGACAACTACTGGCTCCGATGAGCTTGTCGAACAGAATGGAGCATGTTGCTCCGAGCTCATATCCAGCACCAGGCCCTTCGGTACTGACCAGAGGAAACCTGGCCCTTCTGTCGTCTGCAAAGATGTCTCTGGTACGGCACCGGTCGATGAAAACAAAGGGTACTGCTACCCCATGGTCTCCTGAAGAGTTCTCTTCCTCAGAGTCAGAGGTGGAGCCCTGTGCAGAGCCAAAGGGCCACTGCCAATATCTGTCCTACATCCCGCTGGTTCTTGGTGTCTTCAAGCTGGCACCGATCCCCCTCCCTGGCTCTAACCAGGAAGCCAAAGAAAACCATGAGGGGAAGATCCCCCTATTTCCCATAAGGACTCTCCTCCACCCTGTCCTTTCCAAGACCCGTGCCGGGCGACTTGACACCTCCATCACGGAGTTGGGCCCCAGCTCAAGTAGAGCGGTCCAGCCCATCCTGCACTATGCCTGCCATCCCAGACAGTGATGAGGTCCTCTGTCATCTAGAAGTCCCGTCGACACCGGAGGCCCTGCAGGCAGCGGAGGAGATCCTGACACTACCAGTGCCTCCCTCACCAGCTCTGGTGGTACCCTGGTCAAAGGGTAAACCCGCCTTGGGTCCTTACTGTGTGTCCCTACCTCAGCGGCACCACTCCCCATCACGGGGGATGTCCTGCCAATGCTCGCCCACTCGGAGCCGTCACATCAGGGAGGCAGGCTCAACGAAGCCGTCTTCGGTCTCCGGGCCCTTGGCGCTGACACGCACCCCCCCAGCAAGAGCATCGCGACCGCTGTTCGTGTCTCCAAGGCCTCTGCACCGGTCATGTGAACCATCATTTGAACGCGGCCACGGGTAACTGATGCCCATTGCTGACATGCGGATCCCCGCTTTCAGGAAATCAGACAACCCGGTACCAGTTGGGCAGCGTGCGGCGTAGATCGCAGGTCTACCAATGCCAATCTGCTGAACACCAACGGTCCCTGAGTTCCCGCACGAGGGACTGGTCTCGGTCGGTCAGGTCGACGTTGAGGCGTAGCGGCTGGCACCGCATGGAGAAGGAACGCCGGTCCACTCAATCATGATTGCCTGGTAGCGACCATTCTGCCTTGGGCTCCAGAACTAAGCAGGAGTCTTTGACAAGCCCCGGCACCAGCGGTACCATCCAGTCGTTGGGAAGGCAACCTACCCCGTGGCCCCAAAGCCAGTGGCTACCAGCTGCCTGGTACCCCTGGAACCTGTGGGGGTTTCCCCAGCTCTCGGAGACAGTCCGCTTGGTGGCGGAGTCCTCGGATAGGCCATCAGCCTCAGCATCCCGCCCTCCAAGAGAAATAGAGGTCCTGTAAGGCAGGACACCTAGGCCCACGAGCAGACAGGGGAGCAGTCTGGACCACCAGGGGATGTGGTGGCTCCCACAGCACTGGCTTCGTCCTCATCGTTGCCCAACGAAGCCATCACGGGTCCCCCTCACCCAGTTCCACAAAATGATGCTAAGGCTCATCAGGAGCTTTTGAAGAGGGTTGCCTCCAACCTGGGGCTCCAGGCGGAGGAGCTAGAGGAGCCCTCAGACTCCCTATTTGACATCCTCTGCTCCACGGCACCTGCTAGGATGGCTTTGCCCCTACACTAAGGGGTATCAAAAATTAATGCCCTATGGCAAACTCCCTCCTCCCTGCCCCCCCATTACAAAAAGGGCTGAATGGCCATGAGTATCTCTACACCCACCTGGCTCAAAACTCTGTCGTAGTTGAGGCAGTTAATCGAAGAGAGAGGCGGGGCAACCCGGGCCCACACCGGAAAATAGAGATTGGATCTGTTTGGGCAAAAAGTTTGTCTTCCAGCCTCCAATTGAGGGTGGCCAGCCACCAGGCCCTTCTCTGCTGCTACAATTACAACATGTGGTAGGCCATGGCCAAGTGTGAGGTTTCGCTTCCCGAAGAGTTCAGGAAGGAATTCCTGGTGATCCTCGGAGGGCACAGCTGTGGCCAGGGTGGCCCTCCAGGAGGTTCGGACGCGACGGACTCCGCAGCTGGCACCATGGCCTCGGCCATCTCCATGCAGCGGGCATCCTGGCTGCTTCTCTCTGGCCTGTTGACAGAGGCTCAGCAGTCAATGCAGGACCTCCCATTCGACGGCCAGGCCCTGTTTGCAGAACAGATGGACAGTAAGCTGCATGAGCTAAAGGACTCCTGCCCCACCCTGAAAACTCTAAGGCTGTACATCCTCAGTCCAGCCTGTAAGTGCTTCAAACCGCACCCAGCTCAGGGGTCAAGGGAGCCAACCCCAACAGGGCCGCCCCCCAAAAAGAGCAGGGGCTACAAACACCGTCTGAGCTACCCACCTTCTCCCTTCGCCCAATCGTGTTCGACCTGCAATAAGCAGGGGAGCAAGTGGGCGTTTTGAGGGTGGGCCCGAGGGCGACCTATCTGACTATACCCTGGATCTATCTTTCCCGCCTTTCTCCAATCGCCTTTCTTTTTTCTTCCCGGCATGGACCACCATAACTTCGGACCGCTGGGTCTTCAGTACAGTGGCGCAGGGTTATACCTTCCAGTTTCTATCTCCCCCCCCCCCCCTTCCACACCCTTCTTCCCCGTCCCTCTTTAGGGACTCCCCTCATGAGAATCTCCTCGCACAGGAGGTAGAAGGGTTGCTGCAGCTGGGTGCGGTGGAAGAGGTTCCTCATGAATACAGGAACAAGGGGTTCTATTCCCAGTACTACTTAATCCCAAAGGCCAGGGGTGGTCTACGGCCCATCCTGGACCTGCAAGACCTCAGCAAATACCTAAAGAAGTTGAAGTTTCACATGGTCTCCCTGACCTCCATCATCCTCTCCCTGGATCCAGGAGACTGGTATGCCACTCTCGACTTGAAGGACATGTATTTTCATACAGCGATCTTCCAAGCGCACAGGCACTTCCTACACTTCACTACCAGTTTGCGGTCCTCCCTTTCGGCTTAGCAAAAGCACCAAGGGTGTTTACCAAGTGCATGTCGGTAGTAGCTCAGGTGTCGGGCTATCCAGATCTACCTGTACCTTGACCACTGGCTGGTCAAAGGTTGATCCAAGTCCAAAGGGCTGTTGCGGTGCTGTAGGCCACATGCCGATCCCTGGGCCTGCTGGTAAACAACAAAAAGTAGACGTCAGTTCCAGTGCAAAGGACAGAGTTTGTCGGAGCGGTGCTTAACTCCACCTGCGCCAGAGCTGGCTGACCAAGGGCCGCTCAGTGGCTCAGGTGAGAAACAGCATCCACCTGATCCAAGTCACCTTCTGTGCCCTGGGCCTATTGATAAGCAAAGGTTGACTCTTGTCCCTGTCCAGAGAATAGTTTGAGGGTTGTGCTCAATTAGACTCTGGCCAGAGTCGTCCTCCTGAAGTCTCTGTTCCAGATAATGTCAGTTTTGATGTCGAAGGTCAAGGCTCACCTGGTCACGACAGCCTGGTTTTGCCTCAGACTTTTGGGAAACATGGCTGTGTGCAATTACATGGTGCAGCATGCAAGACTACGCCTCAGGCCCATTCAGGCTTGGCTGGCCTCTGTGTACTTACTGAACTGTCACTACTTGGATTCTGTGCTTACCGTTCCTGTTCCGGACCTTGTCTCCCTTGACTGGTGTAAGGATCCCTGATCAAGGATGAATATAGGCAAACAACACAGGAATGCAGGGGCAAGATTAGAAAGGCAAAGGCACAAAATGAGCCCAAATTAGCTACGGGAATAAAGGGAAACAGGAAGACTTTTTAATCAATACATTAGAAGCAAGAGGAAGACCAAAGACAGGGTAGGCCCACTGCTTAGTGAAGAGGTAGAAACAGTAACAGAAAACTTGGAAATGGCAGAGATGCTTAATGACTGCTTTGTTTCGGTCTTCACCGAGAAGTCTGAAGGAATGCCTAACCTAGTGAATGCTAATGGGAAGGGGGTAGGTTTAGCAGATAAAATAAAAAAAGTTAAAAATCACTTAGAAAAGTTAGATGCCTGCAAGTCACCAGGGCCTGATGAAATGCATCCTAGAATACTCAAGGAGCTAATAGAGGAGGTATCTGAGCCTCTAGCTATTATCTTTGGAAAGTCATGGGAGATGGGAGAGATTCCAGAAGACTGGAAAAGGGGCAAATATAGTGCCCATCTATAAAAAAGGAAATAAAAACAACCCAAGAAACTACAGACCAGTTAGTTTAACTTCTGTGCCAGGGAAGATAATGGAGCAAGTAATTAAGGAAATCCTCTGCAAACACTTGGAAGGCGGTAAGGTGATAGGGAATAGCCAGCATGGATTTGTAAAGAACAAATCGTGTCAAACCAATCTGATAGCTTTCTTTGATAGGATAACGAGCCTTGTGGATAAAGGAGAAGCTGTGGATGTGGTATACCTAGACTTTAGTAAGGTATTTGATATGGTCTTGCATGATATTCTTATCGATAAACTAGACAAATACAATTTAGATGGGGCTACTAAAAGGCGGGTGCATAACTGGCTGGATAACTGTACTCAGAGAGTTATTAATGGTTCCCATCCTGCTGGAAAGGCATAACAGGTGGGGTTCCGCAGGGGTCTGTTTTGGGACCGGCTCTGTTCAATATCTTCATTAACGACTTAGATATTGGCATAGAAAGTACGCTTATTAAGTTTGTGGATGATACCAAACTGGGAGGGATTGCAACCGCTTTGGAGGGCAGGGTCATAATTCAAAATGATCTGGACAAATTGGAGAAATGGTCTGAGGTAAACAGGATGAAGTTTAATAAAGACAAATGCAAAGTGCTCCACTTAGGAAGGAACAATCAGTTTCACACATACAGAATGGGAAGAGACTGTCTAGGAAGGAGTACGGCAGAAAGGGATCTAGGGGTTATAGTGGACCACAAGCTAAATATGAGTCAACAGTGTGATGCTGTTGCAAAAAAAGCAAACCTGATTCTGGGATGTATTAACAGGTGTGTTGTGAGCAAGACACGAGAAGTCATTCTTCCGCTCTACTCTGCGCTGGTTAGGCCTCAGCTGGAGTATTGTGTCTAGTTCTGGGCACTGCATTTCAAGAAAGATGTGGAGAAATTGGAGAGGGTCCAGAGAAGAGCAGCAAGAATGATTAAAGGTCTTGAGAACATGACCTATGAAGGAAGGCTGAAAGAATTGGGTTTCTTTAGTTTGGAAAAGAGAAGACTGAGAGGGGACAGATCACAGCTGTTTACTCCTCTTGAACCTCAGGGCCCTCCACCTGATCATGTGAATGTGCCATGGTTGATCCCAGCAGAACAGGCCTGTTCAGAACAAGTCTGCCAGGTTTTGCTAGGTAATGGGTAACTGTCTACTAAAGTGACTTACCTAGCCAAGTGGAAGCATTTCTGTGTGGTCTTCCCAACGAGGTCTCTCTCCGACTTGGTTGCCCCTCCGGTCTGTGCTGGAATACCCGCTCCATCTGAAACAGGGACTAGCTTTTTCATCGATCACAGTGCGTCTAAGAGCAGTCCTAGCCTTCCACCCTCTGATGGTCAGTATGTTGATCTTCTCTCATGAAATGTCCATCCTCTTCCTGAAGGGATTGGAAAGATTTTATCCTCAGATTCACAAACTGATTCCACCTAAACCTGGTCTTATGAAGACTCATGGGCCTCCCCTTTGAGCCACTGGCATTGTTCCCGCTCTTGTATCTCTCCTGGAAGGTTGGCTTCCTGGTAACAATTACTTTGGCCAGGAGGGTCTCAGAAATCAGGGCTCTTACATCAGAACCTCCGTATATGGTGTTCTTTAAGGACAAGATTCAACTGCGTCCCCACCCAGCATTCCTTCCAAAGGTGGTCTCATCGTTTCATAGTAATCGGGCTGTTTCCTGCCAGTTTTCTTCCTGAAACCGCACAGGAACGCAGAGGAGTGGTGTCTCCACTAGCTGGATGTTAGACGCGCCCTGGCCTTCTACGTGGAGAGGACCAAACTGGTCTGTAAACTATGCAGCACTTTTGTGTCAGAAGACAGGATGAAAGGCCTATCGATTTCAACCCAGAGAATTTAATCCTGGATCACTCCCTGTATGTGCACGTGCTACAAGCAGGTGGGCAGTCCAACCTCTTGCCATCTTTACCGTCCATTCGACCAGGGCTCAGGCCTCAGCAGCAGCATTTCTGGCCCAGTCCAAGACCTCTGCAGATCAGCGACCTGGTCGTCAGTTCATACCTTCTCCATCCACTACGCTATCACCCAGCAGGCCAGAGATGATGCCAGGTTTGGCAGAGCAGTGTTGCAGTCCGCATGTCCATGAACTCTGAACCTATCTCCTTGGGCACCGCTTGTCATCTAATGTGAAATGGACATGAGCAAGCACTCGGAGAAGAAAAAACGATTACTAACCTTTCCGTTAGTCTTGCATCTGAAGAAGTGAGGTTCTTACCCACGAAAGCTTATGCTCCCAATACTTCTGTTAGTCTCAAAGGTGCCACAGGACCCTCTGTTGCTTTTAACCTTTCCGTAACTCTTGTTCTTCAAGATGTGTTCCTCATGTCCGTTCCCCAACCTCCTGTCCCCCTGTTGGAGTTAGCTGGCAAGAAGGAACTGAGAGGGTGTGGGACTGTTAGGCCCCTTTATGCTGGCGCATGAGCTCACGGCACCAGAGGATGCTAGTTGCCTTGATAGATACCACTGAGGGAAAAATCTTCAGCAATGGTGAACGTGGCGTGCGCACACCTAATGTGGAATGGACATGAGCCACACATCTTGAAGAACAGTGGTGACAGCAAGGTTAGTAACTTTTTTATTCAGAAACCAGTTTAATGAAAGCTAAAAAGTACATTTTAGCCTGTTTAACGCACAGACTATAAGCCTTTTTCTGAGCCACCTATACTTTGGCTATTCATTAGTGATTAACTACTTCTGTAATGTATTGGCGTTCATATTTTCAACTGTTTGACTTTGTTTAATGGAGCAAAATAGAGAAAAAGCAATTGCACTAAAATGCAACAAAATATCCTTTCCTTTCTTTGGAAAGGAGCATACCAAAATAAAGCAGAAATAAATGGTCCAGAAGAAGGATGTATCATGGAGGGGCAAGACAAAGCTTCCATATACACTGTGGAAAAGATTGGGAAAGCTCACTTTAGAGAGATGCTTTAAGAAGACATGAGGTCTATAAAAAGACAGAGGAGAAAAGGTAGATCATTTGTAGATCACCAGGGACATCTGGTGAAATTGAAAGGCTCCAGATGTATTAAAAAAGTGCATTTTTCATAAGGAAACCTGCAGAACTCATTGTTCTACGATATAATTGTGGTCAAGAGCATAGAATTTGAAGGATAATGAGAATATCCATATTTGTAGTAGGTAGGTAGGATGCTTTCTTAGAAAGGAGATAAAATCTCCATTCAGGGCACAACTGAACCACTAAATGACTGGGACACTTCTTCCTTAATCCCTGTTTGCTGTTTATTGCATAACTGTCCACTATGAGGTTTTTGCCTTCCTTGGAAGCAGCTGGTATTGACCACTGTCAGACAGTTTATCTGAGTACACAAACCACTGGTCTGATCTGGTATCGCAATTCCTAAATTCCTGTGCAAGTATGCTGGCATTTATATGACAGCAGTAGGGACCATTAAACTTTTACAATATTCTCTTCACTAAAACAAACATAATTATTCTGAAGTCTGCAGCTAAGGTTTATTTCTCTCTTCTGACTTTAGAAAATTTACCACAATAATTATTTTTCTTGCCTGGATAAATACAAAAACTGCTTAACTAGATACACTGGACTTGAATAGTTAGAGCTTGATAAAGTGTGTTCTAAATCACTGTTCTCTCCGGTAAATGTCCGTTGTGAGCCTGAATGCAGTTCCTTTTACGTGTCCATAATGCCACTAAGTTTGTACACTCCATATCTTTTTATTTCCCCCAGCCTAATTGTCTTCTCATTGTTCCCAGTCCATAGTGCTAGAAAATAAGTGTTAACGTATGGAACTAAAACATGCTGTCCCACAACATAATGTCATGCTACTACTGCCAAATTGGCCATACAAGATTCTTACCACATTTTCTGTTTGTGGATAAATAACACTGAGCTGACTTGAAATAAATGTGTACTTTTAAAAAAAATTGTTCCGATGGACTTTTTTTGTCTAGAAAAGTGTTATGAAGACAACATGGGGCGTATTGGATCCACCTGTGGGAAACACTCGCTTAAATGTGATTAGGTTGATATCCAGCCTTCTACAGACTAACACAAACAATGTGAACTTGGAACTTATGGAGTTGAACAGCATAGGAGTTATATTGGTAAGAATAATTTACTTACACTGTTAAAACCTCTACACTACCCTCTTCATTTTTATAAAATCACAGAAATTAGATGGCAAAGTCCTGTTAAGATATCACAATGTCTATTCATTTTGTCAGTGCAGATTGTGCCCTAGAGTGTTTTGCAGTAAGCCATGTGATGAGGCTTTCACCACTTTCCTTGTGAGACTATTCCACCATCTGGATTTTGTTAAACTTTCTTCCTGATTGTAACGGAAAATTTTCCTCAGCTCTGCTTAATTGTTTACTCTTTAGTCCTCTATACAGTACATGGCTTTTCATACTCCTTGGTGTTTACACTCTACAGACAGATCTAGATTTCTACCTTATCTTTGCTATCTCCCCATGCTCAAATTCTTTCAGCCAACCTACGTAAACGTACTTTGCTTTTATTCTTTCTTTCCAAGTCATTCCTTAATTTTTTTTGTGCTTTTAATTCCTTTTAAATGTGTCAACTGTATATAGTGCATTAAGTACAGTCCCATCAGTGACATTAAGGACTGGTTATCTCCCTGGTCTGAAATGGTATCTCTCTGTATGCTGCCAAACCTGTGGTGGTTTTGCTACTGTATTGTACTTGAAAACCTGTATCTAGTTGGCGATCTTCTTGCCACATAGATTTTCCCACGGAATGTGTATTTTTGCCTTATGTTCTAGCATGCATTTTTTCCAGGTTGACTTTTATTTCCTACTTATGCTTCAAACTTTTTATTACCATTATTTTTTGTCCTCCTTGGCTTTGCATACACCTCCATTTTATATAAACTTAATTTGGTATGCTGTTTGTATAATACATTGTATTAGTGTAGGGTGTAAAATAAAACTAGGCCTAAGCCATTTAAACGTTCTTCATATTCTGCAGTGGATGCCATTTTAAAATGATTTTACAAATGCAAAGTTTACTATGGTATTCCCTATACTTGGAATGGGAAATACCATAAATCTCGTGGTAGGCTTAATTACTGTGAGTAGTAACCATCCAGTTTTAATAGCACCTTCTTAAGGAAGACTGTTGCATTCCTAAAGACATTTTGAATGATATATTGTCACAGTTCAGGGCAACTGCACCTGTATTCCCTCTCTATGGTCCCTTGTGGACACCCACTCTAGGCTTCCTCAGCAGTCACATCTCTTGGGCAGAGACCCAGGTCTGCACTCCCTCCTGATTAGGGTTTTTCCAGGCTGCACAGTCCCCTTCTTACATTGTGTGATATTCCCGGCAAGCAGCGTTTGCACTTAGCTGTTTATATCATTTGGAGAGAAAGCAAAGTGCCCACACAACCCTGTCTAAGCAAGCACACTTATTCTTAAGGTGAAAGTATTACAGAAAAAAATATTAAACAATAAAAACCTACGTGCATGCTAATAAGCTTACCCGAGATCACCCCAACTAACCTCGGGCTCGGATAGGTTTCTTCAAAACCCACAACTAAGTTTTTTCTCCATGGTTACAAGGTCAGAACTGTCTCAGATTCAGAACCACCATGAATAGTTTGGTCTTTCCTTTATTCAGCTTGGGTCTTTGATCTTCAGGTTCCAGGAACAGGTAATCAACAATATTGTCTCCTCGGGGTAGCTTCAAAAATCTGGGTTTTTGCATAACTTTATGTGGGAAATTTACATTCACGTCCCCCTAGAGATTCCCAGGAGAACCACTTAACACGGTATGTCCTTAAAATCCATTCTTATCTGGCACATAGTTTAATACGGTCATTTGAAGTTCATAACACTTGCCAGGATTCACATAACATTCTCTTTCCCTTCCCCCCAGCCCCAGGCTATAAACAATACATATTGGGGAGACTACAATGGGTCATATTGGAAGGTGAACTGTTAAGCTGGAGGGAGGTTACCAGTGGAGTTCCTCAGGGATCAGTCTTGGGACCAATCTTCATTCACATTTTTATTAATGACCTTCCCACAAAAAGTGGGAGTGTGCTAATAAAATTTGCAGATGACACAAAGTTGAGAGATATTGCCAGTAGAGGAGAGGACTGGAATATCCTACAAAAAGATCTGGATTTCCTTAAAAACTGGACTAATAGAAATGGGATGAAATTTAATAGTGTAAAGTGCAAGGTCATGCACTTAGGGACTAACAATAACAGTTTTTGCTCTAAGCTGGGGATTTATCAGTTGAAGCATCAGAGGCGAAAGACCTGGATGTATAGGTTGATCACAGGATAAGGCTGGTAAGCCTAATTGGTTGAAACTGTAGTACAGAACAGAATTATCAGACACCTAGATGAATACAGTTTGTTTGGGAAGAGTCAACATGGTTTTTGTAAAGGGAAATCATGCTTCACCCATCTATTAGATTTCTTTGAGGAGGTTAACAAGCATGTGGACACGGGAGATCCAGTGAATATAGTGTACTTAAATTTTCAGAAAGCCTTTGACAAGGTCCTTCATCAAAGGCTCTTAAGCAAAGTAAGGTGTCATGGGATAAGAGGGAAGGTCCTCTATGGATCAGTAACTGGTTAAAAGATAGGAAACAAATGGTAGGAATAAACGGTCAGTTTTCAGAATGGAGAGAGGTAAATAGCGGTGTTCCCCAGGAGTCTGTACTGGGACCAGTCCTATTCAACTTATTCATAAATGATCTGGAAAAAGGGGTAAACAGTTGTGGCAAAATTTGCAGATAACTATTTTGAGTAGTTGGGTAAGTCCAAAGCAGACTGTGAAGAGTTACAAAAGGATCTCACAAAACTGAGTGACTGGGCAACAAAATGGCAGATGAAATTCAGTGTTGTTAAATGCAAAGTAATGCACATTGGAAAACATAATCCCAACTATACATATAAAATTATAGGGTCTAAATTAGCTGTTACCACTCAAGAAAGAGATCTTGGAATCATTGTGGATAGTTCACTGAAAACATCTATTCAGTGTGCAGTGACAATCAAAAAGAATGTTGGGAATCATTAGGAAAGGGATAGATAAGACAGAAAATATCATATTGCCTCCATATAAATCCATGGTACACCCACGTTTTGAATACTGCATGTAGATTGGTTGCCTCATCTCAAAGATGTATTGGAATTGGAAAAGGTACAGAAAAGGGCAATAAAAATGATAAGGGATATGGATCAGCTTCCCTCTGAGGAGAGATGAATAAGACTGGGACTCTTCAGCTTGGTAGAGAGATGACGGGGGGGGGGGGGATATGATAGAGGTCTATGAAATCATGACTGGTGTGAAGAAAGTAAATAAGGAAATGTTATTTGCTCCTTCTCATAAGACAAGAACTAGGGGTCACCAAATGAAATTAATAGGCAGCAGGTTTAAAACAAACAAAAGGAAGTATTTCTTCAGACAATGCAGTGTCAGCCTGTGGAACTCTTTGCCAGAGGCCTGTTGTGAAGGCCAAGACTATAACAGGGTTCAAAAAAACTAGATAAATTCATGGAGGATATGTCTATCAGTGACTATTAGCCACGATGAGCAGGGATGGTGTCCCTAGCCTCTGTTTGCCAGAAGCTGGGAATGGGTGATGGGATGGATCACTTGATTACCTCTCTGTTCATTCCGTCTGAAGCATCTGGCATTGGCCACTGTTGGAAGACAGGATACTGAGCTAGATAGACCATTGCTCTGACCCAATATGGCCGCTTTTATGTTCTTATGATGACTGTGAGCCACCAATGAGCTGCGGCCGTGAAAAAGTAATGCAGACCTAGGATCCATCAGGCGAGGTATTTCCAGTAGACACAGGGAAGTGTTAATACCATTATACAAAGCATTGGTGAGACCTCATCCGGAATACTGTGTGCTATTTTGGTCTCCCATGTTTAAGAAAGATGAATTCAAACTGGAACAGGTGCAGGGAAGGGCTACTAGGATGATCTGAGGAATGGAAAACCTATCTCATGAGAGGAGACTCAACGAGCTTGGCTGAGGGGAGATATGATTGCTCTCTATATATACTTCAGAGGGATAAACACCAGGGAGGGAGAGGAGTTATTTAAGCTAAGCGCCAGTGTGGACCTGACAAAAATGGATATAAACTGGCCATCAACAAGTTTAGGCTGAAATTAGACCAAGGTTTCTAAGGCCTTGTCTTCACTTACCGGAGGGTCCGGCGGCACGCAATCGATGTTCTGGGATCGATTTATCGCGTCTGATTAAGACGCGATAAATCGATCCCGGATCGATCCCGGAAGTGCTCACAGTCAGCGCCGGTACTCCAGCTCGCCG